GATTAAGATCGTAGAAACATGAGCTTGTGATATAGCTACACCTAATTCCAGACCGGTTAATGCAAGAACTATAAATAAAGGACTGAAGTCAATAAAAGATCATATAATAAAGTGGCGGGTTAGATAGCAAGAGCAACTAGATCAGACAGCTTTTCGTGCCCTTACTTTTGAGTCTATCAGCTGCAACAAGGGCTGCGGGAACGAGTGAATCAGCCAAGTCAGTAGCCTTTCTTTTATGCGGGATTGCCTGTTGATGCAAGGAATAAGGGCTACTAGTCTTTTCGGAAACTGCTGCTAAGATCCAAAGTTACATAGATTTCTCTCTTTTAGTGTGGGGGCATTAGTAAAAGGCCTAAGCGGTCTTAGCTCCTTCTCTGGTCTTGCCGCCGAGTGCGGACTCGGTTAGTATACAAGATCATCAACATAGTAATAGGATGCATCTGCTGAAGCCAAGACGTAAGAGCGAAGTCTGATCGAGGTGATAAATTGGTTAAACTTTACCTATCTTGGTTTGGCTCAACGCTTAGAAGTTAAGAAGTAAAGCACCTTCTATTGAGGAACTACTCCTAGCTAGCTCTACTTGAGAAATGACAGATCCACCTTCCGCCGAAGAGAAATTCACAGCATCTAGAAACATTTACCAACATACAAAGAGTGAGCTCACAATATTTTAAGAGACAATATTGTTAGCATGATGGACAACTAAATGATTGTATATATTAATGTAATTATATAGTGATATAAATTAGCATGATCATATACATTTGTTGTAGAATCATATGAATAAATATTGTGATAGAATAGCTGATTTGGAGGGATAACTAGGCAGATTTAGAGGGATTGAATAGCAGATTTGTAGAGATAGAATAGGTGATCTTTAGGGATAGGAATGACAGATCTTTAGGGATGTGTAATCTTTATTCTCTCTATATAATGGAAAGACTCTCTCACTTTGAGAGGCATTCAGCAGAAAATTTGACATGGTATTAGAGTCTTCTCTTGGCTGTCATGTTTCATAGAGTCATCTATGGTTCCTTCTAATTTTTTTTGAAAATCTTGGTTTTTGGTTGACTGTTCATCGACAATCAGTCCTACCACCTAGGAATCTTGTTCTTGGTCATTCTAGTTGCTTTCTTGAGTCTTTGTTGTTTTCATAGCTATTCAAAAACATGAATTCACATCACTTTGAATCCTTCAGTGTTCGTTTCACTGGAAAAAAAAAAAATTCTTCTTGGGAGTTTCGGTTTCAGTTATTTGTCATCGACAAAGAACTATGGGGCCATATAGATGGAAGCGATCCTGCTCCTACTGATGCAACAAAGCTAGGTGAATGGAAGATTAAAGATGCTCGGGTGATGACATGGATTCTAGGGTCAATTGACCCTCTTATTGTTCTTAATCTCATGCCGTACAAGACAGCTAAGGCCATGTGGGATTACTTACAAAAGGTATACAACCAAGATGATAGCGCAAAACGCTTTCAGTTAGAGTATGAAATTGCTAATTACTCTCAAGGAGGTCATTCTGTTCAGGATTATTTTTCTGGATTTCAAAACTTATGGGCTAAATTTACAGATATTGTCTATGCCAAAATACCTACTGAATCCCTATCAGTGATTCAGGCAGTTCATGAGCAAAGCAAGCGAGACCAATTTTTGATGAAATTACAAACTTTGAGAGTGTTCGCTCTAACTTGATGAATCGTGACCCATCTCCCTCTTTGGATGTTTGTCGTTGGATGTCTGTTTTAGGGAATTACTTCGTGAAGAGCAACGTCTTGTCACACAAAATGCTTTCAAGAAAGAAAATGATGTCATTGTTGCATTTGCTGCTCAAGGTAAATGAAAGGGCAGGGATATGAGTAGAACTCAATGCCACAGTTGCAAGGAATATGGTCATATTGCTAGCAATTTTAGCAAGAAGTTCTGTAATTATTGTAAACAACAAGGACACATTATTAAAGAATGTCCCACGCGCCCTCAATATCGTAGGGTCAATGCTTTCCATGTTGGGATAAATGGTTCCACTAATGATAACTCATCTTTTGGACAAGTTCTTACTCCTGAAATGGTACAACAAATGATCGTGTCAGCCTTTTCAGCATTGGGATTACAAGGTAATGATGTTACATCCAGTGTTATCAAAGGCGAAAAGCGCAAAAAAACTCTAAGGTCCGTAGGGGCTTTAAGCGTGAAGCGCAAATAAAGTGTGGGCTTTAATGAAAAAGGAACAAAAGGAGAAAAGAAAACAAATATATATGTTTAGTCCAAGACTAATAATTATAAACATGAATGACAAATATATGACCAAAGAAATTGAATTTTTTTATGATAAAGTAATATCAATTATTTAGTGTCACTTCTTCATAAGAGGCTCATTGGCAAGGAAACATTTGCCTTAGAACCTTGATGATGACACAGAAGCGCACATAAAGCAAGGCGAAGCGCTCAACATGTTTTGAGCCTCGCTTTAGGGCTTAAGCGTGCTTAAAGCGAGCCTTTGTAACGCTGGTTACATCTAATTTTTGGATTGTTGATTCAGGCGCTTCCAATCATATGACCAACTCAACGAGCATCCTAAAAAATGTTCGTAAGTATCAAGGTCCATCACAAATACAGATTGCCAATGGTAGGGGCCTAAAGTTGGACGATTATTTCCTATAAACTTTTCCATTCCTCTGTTCTATCTTTTGCTTGTACTTCTACTGCTAGTAAAACTGAGGTTTGGCATAAGCGTCTAGGACATCCAAATTCTGTTGTGTTGTCTCATTTATCAAATTCTGGTTTATTGGGAAATAAAAATAAATTTTCAGTTGCTTCCATTGATTGTTCTACTTGTAAATTAGGCAAAAGTAAAACTCTTCCTTTTCCTAATTTTGGTAATTGTGCTACAAAGTGTTTTGATGTCGTTCATAGTGATGTTTGGGGCATTTCACCAATTATTTCTCATGCTCATTTCAAATACTTTGTGACATTCATAGATGATTATAGTCGGTTTACATGGGTGTATTTTCTTCGATCCAAATCTGAGGTATTTTCCATGTTCAAGACATTTTTGGCTTACATTGAGACTCAATTTTCTACATGCATCAAATTATTAAGATCTAACTCTAGCGGAGAATATGTGTCTTATGAATTCAAAAAATTCTTGCTTGACAAAGGGATTGTCTCACAA